TAAGTAAGCTGATTAGTTTGATGATCTCTCCACCGCAGGAATATGCACTTGAGAGTGCATGTATACGAGAGTCTTATACTCAAAATTCCACTGTTCAGACCCACCTCATTCACCCAACAAATATTTACTGAGCACAGTCCATGTGCTGGGAATACAAGCGACAGTGAACCAAAGGAGGAAAAATACTGCCCTCAGGGAGCTTACATGCCAAGAGCGGGAGATAAGCAATACAAAACTGTGTAAAAAGTTTGCCAGATGGTTCTAAGGGCTGTGGAGGAAAATAAAGCAGAGAAGAGGTAGGAGTACTGGGTGGGAGACAAAAGTTTTCACAGGGGTCACAGAAAGTTTTACCAATAAGGAGACACTTGAACAAAGCCGTGAGGAGGTAAGGGAATAAGCTATGCAGATATTCCAGGCAGAGGAAACAGTAGTATCTTGAAGAAGGTAAATGTTCAGCAAGTTCAAGGAACAGCAGAGAGGCTAGTGTGGCTGGAGTGGAGTGAACCTGAGGAGTAACACGAGGAGATGAGGCCAGACAGCCAGGAGGGGACCAAGGTCAGTAGGTAGGTCCTTACAGGCCCCTATAAGGATTTTGATGACTTCTGTGTAAGAACGTTGAGCAGAGTGACATGATCCAGCCTCTGCTTTAGAAGGATCACTTTGGCTGCTGGGTTGGTAAAAGACTGAGAAGGCCAAGGGCAGCAGACATCAGGCAGGGGCTACTGCAGAACCCGACAGGTGAATTCTATCTAGAATTCAAAGGCAGAGCCAATAAGATTTCCTGATGGACTGGATGTGTGGTGTGAGAGAAGGAATCACGAGCCACTGAAAGGTTTTGAGTCCGAACAACCAGAGGGTGGAGTTGCCATTTACTGAGATGAAGATTTGGGGAGGAGCAGGTTTTGGGCAAAAGTTCAGGAATGTAGTTTAGGACATCTTAAATGTAAGGTGCCTATCAGACACCCAAGCAGAAGTGTGCAGGAGGTGGTGGGTATCAGGGGCCTGGATTTCAGGGAGAGATCTGAACTGGAGGGACACATTGGGGAACTGTCAGCATCTATATGGAATTTAAATGAAGGTGGGTGAGAGCCCAGAGATCAAGAGCATCACACATTTCAACAATTCATGACACTAACAAAATTTTTTTATCTTAAAATAGTAAAGAAAGCAGAATTAGAATTCAAATCATGCACTTTAGACACCAGGCCCATACATAAAGATCAAGGCCTCTATACTATATTCCCTTTAAAAAAAAAACTTACTAGGGAAATTTAAGAATAAGAGCCTCACTCAAAAGTCGGCCAAATGAAGCTACTACTCCAACGTCGTACTCTCCGGATCCCACATCTGGCCACTCATACACTGGAAGCTGAGACTGGACAGCATATTGCTTCACTGGTAGTCCTTTTGGGGATGGGGAGGGCACTGTGACCACCTCCAATTTTTCAATTAACTCTTCCTCTTTGTTTTCTCTAAGTTGGAAAGATTAGAAGAAAATAGGAGTGTTAGGACAATGACTCAAAGCTAAAGTACTTCACATACTTCCATAGTACTTTTATGGTTAGATTCATGAGACATTTAAGGGTAAATGATTAAAAACTAGTACACTGAGAGACTGAGTTTTTGTTTTTTATTTAATTTTAATTATTTGTAATTTAAAGAGCCACACGTGGCTAATGGCTACTGTTTGGATAGCATGGTTCTAGAAATTTCCTGTGCAAAGAGAAACATATGGTACATTTTACACAAATAGGATATTGCTTATACTGCTCTACATTTTGGTTTTTCCCTCTTAACAACACTATATTACTATTATGTGAGTCTTTTAAAAAAGTGGGTCAAATATACATCTGCTTGTATATCCAGCAAACATTTCTAGAATAAGAAACTGAAAACAGTGGCTGTCTCTGAAGAGAGGAACTAGACATGGAAGATAGAGGTGGAAGGAACTGACTTCTCACTGTATGTCCTTTGAACCTTTTGAATTCTGTACCACAACCATGTGTTAGCCAAACAAGAAATACTTTTATTTTATTTATTTTGAAAGATTTTATTTATTAGAGAGAGAGAGAAAGAGCGCACACGGGAGGCAAGCAGGGAGGAGGGGCAGAGGGAGAGGGAGAAGCTGACTCCTCGCTAAGCAGAGAACCCGACACGGGGCTGGATCCCAGGACTCTGAGATCATGACCTGAGTTGAAGGCAGCCGCTTAACCGACTGAGCCACCCAGGCGCCCCTCGATCCAACAAATACTTAAAAAAAACAAAAACAGGGGCGCCTGGGTGGCTCAGTCGGTTAAGCGACTGCCTTCGGCTCAGGTCATGATCCTGGAGTCCCAGAATCGAGTCCCGCATCGGGCTCCCTGCTCGGCAGGGAGTCTGCTTCTTCCTCTGACCCTCCTCCCTCTCATGCTCTCTGTCTCTCATTCTCTCTCTCTCAAATAAATAAATAAAATCTTAAAAAAAAAAAAACAAAAACAAAAACAAAATATATCCCATGGACATCATTCCATAGCAGTACATGTAGTACTACCTCTTTCTTTTTACCTGCTGCATCGTAGTCCAGTGCCCAGAGGGTGTTAGTTTATTTACCAGTTACTACATCACGTGTTGAGGAGTTATGAGAAAAGGAGTATATAGGAGGGCCCTAAAGACAAAGCACAGGAGTAATGGAGCTGCCAAGCAAAGCATCAGCAGAAAGGTCACATGCCATGAGATTCTGGAAACAATCTGCGGAAAGCATTTTGTGGAGAGTACATCATGGAGGGTGTGCAGAAGGAACATGTGTGAAGGGAGCGTTTCAGGGTGTGTGCACAGAGCAGAGTGGTGGAGGGAGGAATAGGATAGGAGGGGATTGATGGGGTTGTGGATAGAAGGGGCTGCTGTGAAGAAGACTTGATGGAGATGACAAATGAGTGTGGGGGGTGCATCAGGAAAAAACGCTGTGGAAAAATAACAAATGGAGGTTGGGAGAAGGCAGGCAGAGCAGTATAGCTGGGTCAAGCCACCATATAGCATGGACTCTCAAAACAGGTTGGATCTCAATCCCCTCCCCCACCCCAGTAAATGGCATTTGTTAAATCGTAGAAATACTAAATGAATACCTAAGAGTTCTGATTTATGAATTTATTCAGTTGGAAATAGTTCGTTTTTGGACTGTGTCCTCATTTCAGCCCCAGAAAACTGGGTCCCGTTGTATACAGAGAGGAGATGGGGAGGGGAGCGGAGAAGTGAGACATGGGTGTGCATGTGCCCGATAAGAAGCCCTGAGGATTGGAGGGTACAAATTAAATGAATAGGAGGCAGAAGGAGGAATTGGAAAGAGGAGGCCTTCGAAGTCAGAACCCGTTTCAAGGCCCGACCTGCTCAGCTGATGACCTTGGACAATCGCTTAACCTCTCGGAGCTCCAGTTTCCTTACACACAAATGGGGCAAGGAGGTGGTGGCAGAGGACAGAGGCGATGTGTGCAAAGCGACTAGCGCCGGCTTGGCACGTGGGGCACCCGCTAGCGCTTGGAGAACGAGAGACAGAGCCCGGTGAGGGAGTGTAGACCGGAGGGACCAGGCGGGTGCCGTGCACCTTCCGGGCGCCTGGAGACGCGGAGATCTGGGCCCAGACCCTTCCGGCTCTGCTGCTTTCGCTGGCGCGGAGGGTAAACCCTCGGGGCCGGCCGCACAGGCTCGGCATCAGCGTCTTGGGCAGCCGGGCCCCCCAAGCCCCGGCCCTGGTACCTGGCGGCGTGCAGCGCCCGCAGCGCCTCGCGGGCGAACTGGTCCGTGCCGAAGAAGAGCACCCGCCAGGGCGGCTTCTCGCGGACTCGGACGCCCCGGCCATCCTCCCCGCAAGGGGAGCCGCCGAGCCCGGCCAGCGCTCGCCACTGGGGGCTCGGCTTACCGCCCGGACCGCCACCCACCGGCCGGGGCCCCCAGCAGCGCCGAACCAGCACCCTCATGACCTCCGGGGGGGGGGGGGGGTGGCCTATCCTGCGCAGGCGCCTCGAGGTAGAAGGGGGGTGCGCGTGCTCGGCCGGAGGGGTGGGGCCGGAGAGGAGAGCTGATGGGCGTGGTCTGCTAGCGACTTGGGGCGTGGTCTGTGTGGTTGGAGGTGTGGCCTGTGTGGTTGGAGGCGTGACCCGCCTGCGCTCGAGCTCCGGTAGGAATTTGCCGGCTCGAGCCTCCCCACGGTTTTTATTGCATTTGTTTGCACGATTTAGGCAATTTCCCCAAAAGAGCTCTCTTGGGAGCAAATCATGTGTTTTCAGACAATGAAATATCATTTATTACGTAATTATGATAATTAATATTTACTGAATATTTACTGTATGCCATGATTTGGCTAAGCATTTTATACCCATTATTTCAGTTAATCCTCATATCAAGCATACAAGGTAGATATTATCCAACCATTTTACTGAAGAGAATCCGAGGTTCAGTGAAGTGAAGGGAATTACCTACCTAAGGTCCTGACAGCTAGTTCAGCTAGTTGCTTCAAATCCTGCTATCCTTACCATTTGGTCTTCATGGCAATCCTTATGTACTAGGCAAGTGAAAGTCCCCATTTTGCACCGAGGAAACTGAGCTCAATTACTTGCTCACAGTCATTCTGATGAATCGAAGGCCCCACTCTTGCCCCTATCCTGTGGGTTCCCTCCCACACAGAGGGATACTTACCATAAGGGAGATTTTCAGGGGAAAAAAGCAGGGGAAGCTGTCCCCAAAAGAACTGCAAGGAACTTTAGTGCTTAGATTCTGTATTCCAGAGACCCATACAGTGACCTTCTCATGTATGGTCACACATCTTGTGTATGGCTACAGAGTGGAGACTAAATTTCCTTTCTAGTCTTACTCTTACCACATTTCCCCATCACACAGTCTTAGACCCAGTGACTACTGGGTCAGTCCTTCTTTCCAAATTATGAGCTCTGCACATTCCTGCTTCTGTGCCTTTGCTTGCTGTTCTTTTTTTTTTTTTTTTTTTTGAGATGTATTTATTTTTATTTTAGAGAGAGAGCCCGTGAACAGGGGGAGGGACAGAAGGAGAGAGAGATTCTCAAGCAGCCCATCATGGAGCCTGACACAGGCGCAGCTCCATCCCACCACCCAGAGATCATGACCTGAGCCGAAACTAGAGTCGGATGCTTAACCGACTGAGCCTCCTAGGCGCCCCTGCTTGCAGTTCTTTCTAGACTGCCCTCCTCATATCACTTCTCTAAATGATATCCATTCTTCAATGCCAAGTTCAGATATCTTCCCAGAAGGCTCGAGCTCTTGCCTGAATGGATTTAATGTGTTTTTCCATGTGGTGCCTCCTTAATGTTCTTTGGGAACTGCTGCTTCTCATAGTTTGGAATTATTGAGGAAAGTTGTCTGATTATGCATCAACATTGACAAATTCACCTGTGTGTTGAATAGAAAAGAGAGAGGCAAAGAGGAATTGAGAGACTGTATTTCAGTGATTCTGCTCATCTAACTGAAGAGGGGGAGATGAGACCCCAAACCTTCCACGCCTTCAATCAAGTTTTGTTCCAGTATCCTCTGTAAGTAAGTGGAATAGGATTCTAATATATTTATTTATTTATTTTAAAGATTTTATTTATTTATTTATTTGAGAGAGACAGCACACACAGAGGGAGAGGGAGAGAGAGAAGCAGACTCCCTGCTGAGTAGGGAGCCTGACACGGGGCTCGATCCCAGGACTCTGGGATCATGACCTGAGCCGAAGGCAGACACTTAACCGACTGGACCACCCAGGCACCCCTGATTCTAATATTTTTAAAAATGGTCATTTTCCATACAACGCGACCTATAAATGCAACCCAAATAGTCATTTGAGTTTCCACCCTAGAATCTGGCCACTGTCTAAAGTGTGACTCTTTATGTTTGTGTTTATGTCATTTCTGTCCTTGAGTTAGCCTGTGTTATACTACATTTGATTTATTTTCAGCACTCCACGTCTCCACAGCTAGCCCAGCTCCCCAGAGCTGCGCCCTCTGCCAACTGCTTCTTCTGAGGAGCCAAAGCCAATCTGTTTTCTTTCCTCCACAGGGTTGTCTCCTGCCATTGATATCTTATTTTCTAGTGGATGGTCTTTTGATTTGCAGCACTTCTTTTTAAAAAACTCAACATAATATTATTGTAACGGCTGAAGTTTTCCCAGGACGCTAAAATGGAAATATTTCCGAAGCTCATGGTAGTAAGTTAGGAATGTATGGGGAAGTCCATTTCCAAGCCCAAGAAAACCCAGGGCTGGAGCTACCACAAAACACACAGAGAAGATGAGGAAGCCAGCACCTCATGGCAAGGAGTTTTAGGTAATAAATTAAGAATGTCCAGAAAGCACATCCAAGAGGCCTATCATATTACTCTGGTGCTCCAGTTTCCAGAAATTTCTCTCTCCTGATGAATGGAGTGTCTATGTATGCTGAATCCATGAACTTGCTCCAGGTTCTGAGTCTGGGTGACAAGACAAGAGCAGGGTCACTGACAGAGAGCAAGCCTGCTTGGTGATAACTCTGACGATGTTTCAGCTTCAAATGCTTGGAAAGTGAAAGTGCTGAGAATCAAGTGGAGATGTTTGGAGGAAATCTAGAATATGGGAGTGACCTTAATGTCTGGAGGGTGAGAGAGCTGATCCGGAATGAGAGGAAGCAGGAAGCGTCTCCTCTCCCTGGTCCCCATCATCCCATCCTCACCCTGAATATGTGTGTATGATTTTTGAGGAGTGCAGAGACCTGCCAGAGAGTCAGTTTCCGTGTGTGTGTGTGTGTGTGTGTGTGTGTGTGTGTGTGAGCAGCCCTTTGGTGCTGAGAGTCAAAAAGATAGAGCAGCAAGAGCTCTGGGAAAGAGGGAGCAGGGGCACAGGGAGGAGAATGGTCAGAGCTCTGATTGGTAAAATGGCCAATGCCTGAACCCACAAGAATTCCGGAATGTGGTCTGGGAGACAATGCCACATGTGACAGGAGAAGGTCTACCATAACCAGGTATCGGGCCAGGGCCAGGGCCAAGGTCAGGAACCGAACCCCGGGGCGCCGCACAGGGAAATGTCTTTTGGGGTGCCGCCCGTTGGTGGGAAGGTCCGTGTAGTACTCTCTCCTGACTGTAGTTGCATCAGAAGTCCGCCAGGGTGTGCTACTCACCAACATTTCCTGTCGTTGAGCGCGATGGCCGATTCACCGGCTCCAGCACCTTTTGCTCGGAATGGGCTGTCAGTGTTGTTACTGCGTCATGTGGTCTCAGTAGATGTTCCTCCTTAAGCCGTCCAGCTGCTCTCTACAGCAGCACTGGGGCTGCAAGGCCATCCGCTGGGGACAGACCGGGAGAGGCTGTCTCCCCACTAACCCATCCACCTCGTACAGGTGATGACACAAATAGTTAGGAGGCTCTTCTGTGCGCAGCAGACTGTCCCTCACTAGGAGCCCAGGTGTCTTCCCATCCCAGGTGAGAGCTTAGGAGGCAGCTTGCGGCCCGCAGGACTCGGTGTCCTTGAGGAGAGAGACTGGAGACGTCACATGTCATCTGATGGGTGTCAGAGTCCCAGGAAGGGAAGGCAGATGTGGTACTACAGGAATGAGAAGCAGGAAGTTTTCCTTTGCTGCTGATAGTTAACCCCAGTAAACCAAGCGAAATATCAAAATGGATGTAAAGAGATCAAATCTTAAAATCTTTGGTTTCCCCCAGGCAAAAGAGCTGTACAATATTAACAAAGGGAAGGAATATTTCTTTTTGTAAAGTACATTTTCCTAGCTCTGCAAGGAAGTTGACAAGATAGTAATACCTTTCATGTTAAATGGAACTCATAATTTGACTGGTCTAGAGATTGGTAACCATTTACAAAAATTTAGAATAAGGGTCTCAAGAACTGCTGGGAAGGGGCACCTTCTGAGGGTGGCTCAGTCAGTTAAAGTGTGTGCCTTTAGCTCAGGTCATGATCACAGGATCCTGGCGTCTGGCTTCCCTGCTCCGTGGGGAGCCTGCTTCTCTCTCTCCTCTGCCCCTCCCCCTGGCTCGTTTTCTTTTCTTTTCTTTTCTTTTTTTAAGATTTTATTTATTTATTTATTTATTTATTTATTTATTAGAGAGCGAGCGAGAGAGAAACAGCATGAGAGGGGGGAGGGTCAGAGGGAGAAGCAGGCTCCCCGCCGAGCCGGTAGCCCGATGTGGGGCTCCATCCCAGGACTCCGGGATCATGACCTGAGCCGAAGGCAGACGCTTAACGACTGAGCCACCCAGGCGCCCCCCCGGCTCATTTTCTTACTCTCTCTCTCTCAGAAATAAATAAAGCCTTAAAAAAAAAAAAAGCTGGGAAAATAAAAGGAGGAAAAAAGAAACAAGTGTTCAAAAGAGAACAATGGAGTTTTAGTTAATAAAAGGTGTCTGGTTACCAAGATAACATAGGGAATGAAAGATATCAAAATAGATATTAGGCCAGTCCTAAGAAATTTTTCCGTATATGACTTTTATTTTACTTTTTAAAAGATTTATTTGAGAGAGAGAGAAAGAGAGAAAGCAAGCACGGTGGGGAGGGGCAGAGGAAGAGGAGGAAAGAGTCTCAAGCAGACTCCACACTGAGCACAGAGCCCATGGGGCAGGGGGCGGCAGGGGGACGGGCTCAATCTCATGACCCTAAGATCACAACCCCAGCTGAAACCAAGAGTTGGATGCTCAACTGATTGAGCCACCCAGGTGTGCCAGTATACTCCAATTTTTAAGGCTCTGATTTTTATTACAGTGTGAGTAAAATGCCAACATAACATTTTAGCTCATGTAAGGCTTGGATTTATATTCTGATAAGCCTAATTAATTGAAATTTCCAAAGTCCTTATATTTATACTCCTTATATTTATATTCTGATAAGCCTAATTAATTGAAATTTCCAAAGTCCTTATACTTATCTTATACCATTGAAATCATTACTTACACAAAAAAATAAGACTACGTAGATATAACTATGGGGTCTCAACCAAATTTAATTATAATAACTAGTGTAAACTTCACACAATGTTGTAAACCATATGGAACCACAGAATTATGTTGCTTGCATTACTGAGTAAAATTTAGGGTGTGTATTTAATACCAACAGTGATTAATGTAATACTGAGTGTCAATTTAAGTCATAATTCCAAGATAACCAATTAACTTTAAGAGTTTAGACATATTAATTTAAAATAATTAATAAATGACTTTTGGTTATCTGAAAAAAAATTAAGAATTTAAAGGAGTAGCATGAAACAGTACAAGTATCTGGAGATTGCACAATACTTTTTACAACCAGTCACAAAAGACCGCAAAAGACCAAATAAATGTAGGATTCCGTCTATATGAAATGTCCATAATAGGCCAATCTATAGAGACAGAAAATAGGGCAGGGGTGCGTGTTGGTAGAAATGAGGGGTGCCTGGGGCGCCTGGGTGACCTCAGTTGGTTAAGTGACCAACAATTTTGGCTCAGGTCATGATCTCAGTGTCGTGGGATTGAGCCCCACATGGGGCTCCACACTCAGTGGGGAATCTGCTTGAGATTCTCTTTCTCCCTCTCTGTCTCTGCCCCTCCCCCCCACTTGTGCTCTCTTTCTCCCTCTCTCTCAAATAAATAAATAAATCTTTAAAAAAAGAAAAAGAAAAAGAAATGAGGGGTGCCTGCCAGTTGGCACAAAGTTCCTTTTGAGGTTGATGAAAATGCTCTGAAATTGATTGTGGTGATGTTTACATGACTCTATGAAGTACACTTTAAATGACTGAATTGTATGTTATGTAAATTACATCTCAATAAACCTGTTTAAAAGTTATGTTTTTAGGTACTCTTATCCGTACAAAATGTACTTCTTTCCTCATATTCAAGTTACACGAATAAAATTAATGCAGTAAAAAATGTCTTAAGATACATTTCACATGTCTAATTTTATTTTTTAATTTTTTTAATTTTATTTTTTAAACCAAAATTCAAAGCTTTGAATCATGTTGTACCTATCATTATTTGGTATACTTATTTAAAATATATATGTAATGAGGTATATTCAAAATTAGTTAAGTAATTGGGAAGCATATGTATAATAGAGTATTAATAACCCCACTTAATACACTGATCTCATGCCTGATTGAGTGTGTACAGTCTATGAGTCAATCTGAGGTAGTGAAATACATTTTTATTTTTCTTTTGCATAGATGACAGAAGTTTTTTGCTGTAACTTCCAAAATGTAGACTATTAAAAGAATCCATTAACTTCCAGGAAACTTTTGGAAATACATAATCTGCAAACAACTATACGCAAATAAACAAAATGACAAGAGGTTCTTCATTTCGTATATGCAAATGATACTACAAAGCCCTCCAAGGACATGGCTTATGGAATCATAACCTTACAGGTAGAAAAGGCTTCCGCTTCCAGGCAGGCCAGAAACATTGACAAGTTTCAGGGAGCTGGAGAAGAGACTTGGAAATGGATGACCAAACCTGGTAAGGTGAATTAGATGGTGCTGGGTTTCAGGCCTCAGAGCGAACACACTGATAAGGTCAGTAGAAAGCATTTCTGGCACCATGGAAAGATTGGAAACTTATCCCCAGGGCTTTATACAGTTTACAGGGAAAAGTTAACTTTCTGCTTCTCATCTTATGGCTCTAATTTTGCTTACGGTTCAGCAAGGTCTTTGTGCAATTATACATGCCTCTTGCTGGACCTCTGAACTAAAACATGAGACATAGAATAACACTTAACATGATTCAGGCTCATAAACTGCATGAAATTGTTACCACCAGATTGAATCACCATACAATATTCGTTTGGAAATTCTTCCCAAATATAGGAAGCTGGTTGAAAGGAATACTATTAACGTGGGCATGACTCTTTCTGGTAACGATGATTGTGTATGTTTTGTATGTCAACTTGCCTCCATTTAAAAAAAAATGTAAAAAGTGATCAACTAGGCAAGAAATTTAATCAACATAAAGAGATAGCCCTATTTTTTTTGACCAAGACAGGTCTTTAAAAATAATCTGAGCGAAAAGGAGAAGCTTCAAAAGAAAAGTTGTCCCACACCTAATCAAGGACAGAACTTTTCTCCTTTTTCAATGATTTAATTCACAACTTCCTTCTGGAAAGAAATTATGATTCCTGGTCAAAATGCTTAGAAAAGTTTCTGCTAACTTTAAGACAATTAAGACTTGTTCTAGAAAACTAGTCACCCACCCACCCAAATGACACCAGTCAAGAGTCTTAGTGACCTTTTAATCAAACATTCTTCTTTTAAAAATCTAGTCTAACAATGATTATCTAACCTTTCACCAAAAGTGAATCTTTAAACTAGGACAGCCCGAGGCGTTTTCCCTTATAGCAAGATTGTAATAAAACTTTAAATGGTCCTAACTAAATTGTTAGAAGTATTTTCTTTAATTCTGGGGTCAGCTGTATGCTGCGGAGTTCCCCTCAAAGAATGCTTACTTGCTTGTGAAAGGTGATAACAACAAAATTCAGACAGATTAATACGAAATGCTGCCTTACCACAGGGTTAGATACTCCTCACGTTATTTAGCAATTCATCTTCAAAGGAAGCTACTCAGAGTGCTGCGTATGGGCATGATTAAACGTCGTGTCTATTAAATTAAAATGAAAGGCTGAGAGACTCTGACTTGATTCTACTCTTGGACTTTGATTTAGTCAGGAACTGAAGAAGATAATTGGTTATACTGTAACCAGGAGCAAAGTGTCAAAGACATAGAAGTGAGGATTATAAAGAAAGGTCAACGACATAGAAAGTCTCAAATGCAATAGCTAAGATAAAAGTAGTGGTGGCCAAATGTCCTTTCTTGGAGAAAGTACATACTTTGTTCCATTGCTACCCACCAGTCTCTGCCCAAACTTCCAATACTTTGCAAAGTTCCTAAAATGCTTCCAGCAAGATATGGGTCTGTTGAAAAAGGATTTGCTCCCTGAGATCATTTCATTTCAGCAAAAAGATGGTTTCCCTTTGGATACCCATCTCTCCTTCCAACTACCCTCTTGCAGATGGAGGCATCAAGTCAGTGTTTAAGCACCAATAATTTTGGACTTAATTGCCCTACCTTTTCCAAAAATGCCCCCGCTGTTTCTATTCTATGTTTCCTTCCTCTGGGCTTAATATAAACATTGGCCCCTGGAAGGAATACGTGGTTCCGTTGGTACCATAATTTAACCCCTCCCCAGTTCTTGGATATTTATTTATTTATTTATTTATTTATTTATTTATTTATTTATTTATTTATTAAAAGATTTTATTTATTTATTTGAGACAGAGAGAATGAGAGAGAGAGAGCACATGAGAGGGGGGAGGGTCAGAGGGAGAAGCAGGCTCTCTGCCGAGCCGGGAGCCCGATGCGGGACTTGATCCAGGGACTCCAGGATCATGACCTGAGCTGAAGGCAGTCGCTTAACCAACTGAGCCACCCAGGCGCCCAGTTCTTGGACATTTAGATATTCTTTTTTTATCATCTTAAGCGACGTTGCAGTAAACGTCCTCGTCCACCTATCTCTGCTCCCCTGTGTTGTCATTTCCTTACATCACCACCTTTAGATTTCCTTTTGTTTTTTTATGACGTTTTCTCTACTGAGAAGAGACTGTGCTGCTATTGGGAACTTGCCAGAATTATTGTTCAAACTTAATTATTAAATTGGCTTCTGAGTGTAAGTGACATTTGTGAAAATGAAGGTAAGAACAGATGGCTAGCCAAGGGCTTGTCCACCCCTCCTGGCACCAGCTGATGATGGATGGCCCACCCCAAGGAGCAGAAAAGCCTGAGCTGAAAGTCCGGAGCAGTCTCCGGAAGCCTCCCAGCAAGCACTGCGTCTTCAGTGTGGGAGGCAGGAGGCTGAGAAGCAGGAAGATGCTTATCCTTAGACCCTGGAGCTCAGGGCCAGGGACCCTACCTGGCACCTTAACCCTGGGCTGAGATTAAAGTGCCCTGAGCCGAGGGGTCAAGACCCTGGACAGCCCAGTGTGTATTTCCCTACCTTCATCACCCACTGCTCTTAGGAAAAGAGATCTCCCTCATGTTGGGGTTTTTAACCCCCCCTCTTTTTTTTTAAGTAGAAAAACTAACTGGTTGAACCCAGGGGAATATCTCCTGAGCTTAAAGGGCCTGAGTTTTGTCAACACATAATTGGCCTCTCCTGATAATAATTTCTAAAATACCTTTCCTTTTTACTTCTCTTTGAAGCTTATATATAGTTAGATAAGAAAAAGAGGTCCAAGTGACTAGCTCAAAGGCATACGGCTGGTTGTAGCAAGGATGAATAGGACTAGAACTTAGTTCTTCTGATGCTAGGTATTCCCTTATTCAGCAGTTATTGGGCACAAATAATGTGTATCAGTTATAGTACTAGCTAAGTTTTTGTAACAAAGATCCCAAACACAGTGCCTCGAATCATATCAAAGTTTACTTCTCTCACATATAACACTCCAGAGGTAGACAGCTGGTCCAGGGCAGATAGGCAGCTCTGCTCCATGAGGTCACTCAGGGACCCAGATTCCTTTATCTTGTTGTCGGGGTCACAAACTTTCTCCTTAAAGGGCCAAATAGTAAAAATGTAGGCTTTGCAGGTCATTCAGATAAAGTATAAAAATAAGCCAAACTAATCTATGGTATTAAAAGTCAGGCTAGGGGGCGCCTGGGTGGCTCAGTTGGTTAAGCGACTGCCTTCGGCTCAGGTCATGATCCCGGGGTCCTGGGATCGAGTCCCACGTCGGGCTCCTGGCTCAGCGGGAGGCCTGCTTCTCCCTCTCCCACTCCCCCTGCTTGTGTTCCTGCTCTCACTGTCTCTGTCTCTGTCAAATAAATAAATAAAATCTTTAAAAAATAAAAAAAAATAAAATAAATAAATAAAAGTCAGGCTAATGGTTGCCTTTGTGTGGGTTAGTGCCCAGAAGTGGACACAAGAAGACTTCTGAGTTCTGGCGATGTTCTATTTCTTGATCTGGATGGTGTGGGTTTCACACATGGGTGTGTTCATGTGAAAATTCTCTAAGCTATAGCATAATATTCAAGTACTTTTCTGTATGTATGTTATACTTCAGTAAAAACATTTAAATAAATTGCAAAAAAAAAAAAAAAGTAGGGCGCCTGGGTGGCTCAGTTGGTTAAGCGACTGCCTTCGGCTCAGGTCATGATCCTGGAGTCCCAGGATCGAGTCCCGCATCGGGCTCCCTGCTCAGCGGGGAGTCTGCTTCTCCCTCTGACCCTCTTCCCTACTCATGCTCTCTCTCTATCATTCTCTCTCTCTCAATAAATAAATAAAAATCTTAAAAAAAAAAGCGATTCAGAAGTATCACACTATTTCTTCTCTCATTACATGGGCTGGGGCAGGCTCTTCTTAAAGGGGACACAGTGCCCTTTAAGGGCCCCATGACACTCCTCAAAAGCAGACAGGGGGGATCAGGGAGGATTGGGGTCAAGGAGTCACTTCAGAGACGCTCACTGGAGTGGCTATCCAGTTCACAGCCATGGTTATCCCGTGGGCATGAGATTTGAGCCATCCATGGTACCTCACTTTCTGGCCATAATAACTGATCCAAAACATGGGTACGTGATCCAGGCCAGGACAAATAGTCTTTTCCTAGGAATTGCCAAACTGGATCTGAGGAAAGGGACTCCTTTCCTTCCAGCTATAAAGATGTGAGCCTGGATTTCCTGCAGCCTAGTCCAGGTTCCTAGAAATGAGCCTGATACCCAGTGAGAAGCAGGGAGAGAGAAAGAGCTAAGGATCTTCAGGCTCTTGGTTCCAAATATACCAAAGGTCAGCTCCACCCTGCTCTTCCCAGTTATATGAGCCAATAAATTCCTTTTAAATTCCTTTTGTGTTTAAGAGAATTAGTGTTGAGTTCCTCTCTCAAGAAAACTATCAGCTGCCTTTCTCCCACAAATGCACCCTGGATCTGATTATCTCCATGGTCACAATCCCAACCCAAACTACCACTGTCTCTTGCCTGGATGAATGCCAAGTCTCCCAGCTCCTCTCTTCCGCTTTCACAATTCATTGTCCACACCAGCAAGCCAAGTGATCTTAGATAAATGTCAGTCAGACCCCATCACTTCCTGCCTAGTGATTTCTCATTACATCCAAAATTATACTATTCTATAAGGCCCTGCATGATCTGCTTCTGTCCATCCTCCAATTTTATCTCTTGTCACTTCCCCTTATCACTATCTTTTTTTTTTCTTCAGATTTTATTTATTTATTTGCCAGAGAGAGAGTGAGAGAACACACACACAAGCAGGGGGATCGGGAGAGGGAGAAGCAGGCTCCTCACCAAGCAGGGAGCGCAATGCGGAACTCGATGCCAGAACCTTGGGATCGTGACCCAAGCCGAAGGCAGACGCTTAACCGACTGAGCCACCCAGGCACCCCTCAAGTAATATTTATTGAGTGAATGAATGAGTTACAAAATGATGAGGGGCTGGAGTTCCATGTAGGACTTAGTTTCCCT